AATCAGGATGATGGAAACCACAGCCACTCAGTCTTGGAGGGATTGAGCTTGAGCCTGTTCCTCCCCATCCAGATCCGCACATTTATAGGTTTTGTTTAGCCTGAAATCTTACATCTCACCTGATCTTTTCCTCTCCATCACCCCAGCTGCTGTTGCTGCTGTTAGAGGACTGTTGTAACTCTGAATACTGTTGTGAGGCGAGTTGTCCTCCGATTTGCAGAACGTTGGAGAGTCAAGTGGTGCTGGACGGGGTATGTGCTTCTTTTTCTTCTTTGGGAGCTTTTGCTTCGCCATGGCCAATGAGTAATACATTCCAAAGTTGTTAACAATCACTGGAACAGGCATAGCAATGGTAAGAACACCAGCCAGGGCACAAAGAGCTCCCACCAACATACCTGACCAGGTTTTTGGATACATGTCTCCATAACCCAAAGTTGTCATGGTTACCACTGCCCACCAAAATCCAATGGGAATATTCTTAAAGTGGGTATGGTCACTACCACTAGGATCAGATGGCTTGGCACCAATCCTTTCGGCATAATAGATCATGGTAGCAAAAATTAAAACTCCTAGAGCCAAGAAGATGATGAGAAGGAGGAATTCATTAGTACTGGCCCGGAGTGTATGGCCCAACACCCGAAGTCCCACAAAATGGCGGGTCAGCTTGAAGATCCGGAGGATTCTGACAAAACGAACTACCCTCAGGAAGCCCAGCACATCTCGTGCAGCTTTGGATGATAGGCCACTGAGTCCCACCTCTAAGTAGAAGGGTAGAATGGCTACAAAGTCAATGATGTTAAGAAGGTTCTTAATGAAGATCAATTTATCCGGGCAGCAAACAATGCGCACCAGAAACTCTAGAGTGAACCACAGCACACAAACTCCTTCAATACAAGTGAGAATAGGCTCTGTCTCCATCTTTTTCATCACAACAATCTCAGTTGTGTTGCCCACTACTAGGGTCTCAGTCACATTGGTGTCTATGATGAAGGCTTCATGTGTCTCCAGACAAAAAGTTGTGATGGATACCAGAATAAAAAAAAGTGAAGCAAAGGCAATGATCTGAAAAAGAAGGGAAAACATATGCTCAAAGATTAAAAATAAACTATGGGAGAAGAAAAACAACCTAAGAAACAAGAATACAAGATTTAAAACTTTCATTCTCTTTTTTTTTTCATTTTAATCACTACAAAGAAAGCTTGGAATAAAGAAGCATGTTTCATTTGAATCTAGGAGGAGAAATAATCATTGACTGGCTCCTTACACAGTTTATAGGGCCCTCTTCTCCTCTTTCCTATGATCCATTGTACCCCATCAAATCAGAAGATCTCAATTTTCAATCTACCCATCTATTAGAACTATTCATAGAATATTCTTTATTGGCCAAGTGTGATCAGACACACAAGGTATTTCTCTCCAGTGCATAAGCTCTCAGTGTACTAACAAACAACAAGGTGATAAGTTATAAGATACAAAAAACAAACAATTCATGTTCTAATTCTGTATATTTTATTTTTACATTAGGCTCACTAAAGTGTGCAACAGTGATAGGAATAATAATAAATATATTTGTACCCAGGTGTTAGACACAGACTGAGCAAATGAAATTCAGCTTCTCTTAATTCAGTTCAATTCTTTTGCAGCATGAAATTGGTCATCTCACAGTCAGCAGTAAAATTTATTGGCAGATTTGGTTTTATCTTCTATCCCAAAGGTTAATCTAACACCTTCCCCTGATATTAACAATAAACAGAGAAATTCAATTGCTCAGCTGCGACTGATTACATTTGATTGTGCTCCAACCTCATTTATGCTCATTTTCCTCTGCAGATTAGTTTGCCAACAAAGGGAGGAATTAACGCTTATATGAATATGCAAGATAGCTACTTCTCTGCTTTATTTTGTGAACAGCGGCAGAAAAGCTCTGACAATTTGAAAGAATAAGGAGACTATTATTTAAAGTCATGTTACTTATTTGTTAATCCGGGAGACTATTTGCTACCTATAATAATTTTACTGATTTGCTCCTAATTGGAATTTTCATGTTACTTACAATAATAATCTAAAAGTCTTTCATAATCAAACCAACAACATGGGTTTTTTTTGGAGGGGGGGGGATAGAACTTATATATCACTTATATAATGTGATCATTTATCACTTAATGTATTTTCGTTTTGCTTTTTTCTGTATCTCTGCAGATATATTATGTTTGCACATATAGTTAATTACCCAAGAAAGCTGCAGTTTGCCTCCTCTAATCAAAACCACCCACATCACATATCAAACAAGTTTTGAAAATGAAGAATTTCTAAAGGCGAATGCTGGTAACTATTGAACAGAACTGTTTTATTCTATGTTATGAGAATTACTGCCAATTTGTATTATTACACAGAGTCACTGTTTTCTATCTTCTGTCCACAACAATCTCTTACATGGTATCATAACCTATGGCTTATGGGAACTAAGTCCCATTTCCAATTATGCAATCAGTGATTATGTAATAGAACAATCAAATGCAAACTCTGTATCTAATCTGATTTTAAAACCCCATTAAATACAGGATCTAACTCAATATGATCCATTGCACTGAGACTTTAAGAAACTAATGATTAAACACACTTTAAAAAAAATAAAAACCCATCCATTTGGATTTACTTTACTTAAGTGTCATTTGACTTTGAACCTACTCAATGATGCCCCCTCCACCCCCCTTGATAGCATTTCCAGCCTGTTTCCCAAAGAAAAATTCTTGGCTGCAGCTTCTCAAAATGCAGGATATTTCAAAATCTGCGTAACTGGGACAAATGTAAAGCAAGGACAAGAACACGCACACAAATATGCACCATTTTCATCAACCAACTGAAAAACCAGTCTACCAAACACTCTTACTGAATTAATAACCAACAGGTTGAAAAAGCCAAGAGGTTTTCAATTCTCCTCTATGTTATTAGTTAATCTATAACCATTACAGTGGCATATTGTGTAAATCAAAAGGATATTAATATAATATAAACATATTAATATATGTGTTCTGAATGGACATGGTAGTCTGAAGGTACAAGTGCAGAAAGGAATGGCAGTAACTTTACTTATCTCTGTGCTACCCTTTCCTCCATGCTCCCACAAAAAGCCTACTAAAAAATAACCATAAAACAGCTCATTCTTAATTGAGCATTCTTAAGCTCAATTCTTAAACCTGGAAACAAGCTACCCATTATATTTATATGATACACTAAACCAGAATTATTATTTTTTATCTCCTTTAGTACATACACTTATATAAAAGGTCAAAATAATTCTGCTAAATATTTCCATAAAAATATTTTTAATTTAAAATTAATTTAAAATCAGCAGCCCAAAAATAAACAGAATTTTGGCAAAACTTGTCTTTTGGTATTAGTAAAATACGTATCAGAAATAGTGGCAAAAATTGGCTTCATTAACATTGTGGCTTCTCTATGATCATTTCCAAAGGATTCTTCCCTCTTCAGTGAAAAGAAAATAATTTGATATGAGCGGGTGGCATATTAGAGATCCAATTTTCTTTCCCTCCCTGACCTCGAAACAAACAACATTTATAAATCAAAGCTCAATTCTTGAATCTTGAAACAAACTACCCATTATATTTATGTGACACACAAGCCAGATTTTTTCAAAATGATCAATAACCATTTGTTCTTCCTGAAGTAATACAACTAACACACCTTGGACAATTCTATTCATCTGCAACTGTCATGCTGCCTAATCCAGGGACCTTGATTTTCTCCTGTCAAAACAAGCTACCAAAAAACAAATGAACAAGCAGAGCCAGAGCGAGCATTATAAACAAATACTGGATAGAGCTGTGATTTCTAAGCCACCTTTGCTTATAAGTGGAGACATAACATACAATCAGAAGAAGGTGCAATGGACAGTCCTCATTAGCTGAAGAATTCTGGTGTAAATTGGTCCTATAAACTCAATAATTTAGTTGTCCTCTTCTGAACCATGGATAGGGAGGGGGCTTGTGGATAGCCTCCCTATTTAGCTCCAGTACAGTGCAGTATTACAGTGATCAATTTAGAATGTTATCAATTTAATTTAATTTAAAGGTGGAGCAAAGTTCCAAAGGAGTCCTTTGCCAAATCCTTTCAAAAGACATTGTAAATGGTCCCCTCACTTCTAGGCATGGCATGATGTGAAACAAGGTAAGCAAAAGTTGCCTATCATGTTCTATGTAAGGTTCAAAGTGGGACCTTATAGGTACAGTATCTTTAGGAGAAATGCTGTTTCAATTGCTATAAAATGTTATTACTAGCCTCTTAATTAATTAAAATAGCTTTAGTTTCCTTAAACTCATTTCATTTTGCTTTAGAGCTACCTTCTGCTTTCTCCTGTCAAATTTGCAATCCTGGCCATCATGATTCTAGTCTTCATCAAAGACTATCTGTAGTGGCAGCCGAAGAAGACCAGCCTGGACTAGCCCTCTTCCTCCAATATGTAGCAAAGTTCTTTGTTTGCAGTTTGCCACCTCTTTCCACAAAAAATACAAAGGGCCTATCACTCACATACAAACTGCTTATCAACAACTTTGGCGAGTAATTCAGAGGTGGCAAAGGGTACACCCTGTACAAAGGAAGAGGTAATCGATCCAAAGCTCCCTGCTCTTTTGAATCATCTACTAAAAATGAGCCAAGATGGCACAGTGGCTAGAGTGCAGTACTGGAGGCTACTTCAGCTGACTGATAGTTTCAGTTTGGCAGTTCAAATTGCACCTGCTCAAGGTTGCCTTCGCTTTCCATCCTTCCGAGGTGAGTAAAATGAGGACCCAGATTGTTGGGGGCAATAGGCTGACTCTGTAAACTGCTTAGATAGGGGTGTAAAAGCACTATGAAGTGGTATATAAGTCTAAGTGATATCGCTATTGTGTGCCAAAGGGCTAGTCTAAGTGGCTTATGTGGTGGGTAGTCCAAAACCTGAAAGCAATAATGAAGAAGCTTCATCCCACATCAAGGCTCACAGTGGTTCCATGGACACCCAAACTGCTTGCATAAAGCAAATGAGACTATTTTCTTACTATGATAACATATTAACCCCATGGTATAAATTATCCAAGTCAATTCATGCAGGCTTTTACCGTGTTCCCCTAAAAATAAGACAGGGTCTTATTTTCTTTTGACCTCCAAAATAAGTGCTTGGCCTTATTTTTGGGGAGGTCGTATTATTTTTGAGGTGCAGGAGGCAGAGAGCGTGGTCACCTCATGGCTGCTGCTGTGTTGCAATATTTTCGGGGAGGGCTTATTTTAGCGCATGCGCTCAAAAGCCCGATTGGGCTTATTATNAGAAAGAAAGAAAGAAAGAAAGAAAGAAAGAAAGAAAGAAAGAAAGAAAGAAAGAAAGAAAGAAAGAAAGAAAGAAAGAAAGAAAGAAAGAAAGACAGACAGACCTTTGGAACCATAATTCACCAAATCTACAATCTGCTTTGCCAACAGGAAAATGAATAATTTATTTATATATAAAAGATTATATGACATAATCCAGGGGAGGCAGCATTTTCATTTTTAGTGACATTTCCAAAATATATTGGAATCAATTTTGCACCTTCTTGACTGGAGTTTTGCATTCAGCCCCTTCAGCAATACATGTTGGTGAATCCACCAATATTGGAGGTGGGGGGAAGTGTCAAAACATCAGTCCTATACACTCCTATGTTTCAAGTGACATATGGCTAACAGAAAATGTCTATAAACATATACCGTGCATTAATGCTGTGGTGACTGCAGTATGGTTTCCACAGAAACTGAAGTTTTCTAGAAACAGCATTCTGTTCATGACGACTGTATAGCCAGATATCACTTATAATATAATAAATGTTAACATTCTAGTACTGATAATGTTATTCTAGGCTAAATCTTTACATCTCATCAATATTCCTTATCTGAGACCGGAAAAAATGATACAAATGACCTGCTCATACCTCACATCTCAGACTTCCTGGTTTTCTTGTTAGTCTTAGCAACTTGTGAACATTGTACCATACCTGGTTCCTTTTTTAGTAACAGAGCAGCCTTCCTTATCCTAC